CTTCAGAACTAAATTAGGAAATATGTCCAAATACATAGAATGATGCTGAGAGCCCTAAGCGGGTCTCTTTTCCTTTATGAGGCGTGAGACTCATCGTCAACATAATGCTCTTAAATGAGGCAATTTTATCTTCTAACCCTCCACCTCTGAGAGCAAAATTAATTCAGGCAGCAAAAGAATTAATAAAGATGATATGGTATCATAAATACATTTTCATGGATGGAAGTATTTTTGACAGATTCAGGAAATACGAGACAAAAGAACAAATTTTAAAGGGATGTTTGGACACAGAGGGCTACATTAGCAGAGCTGACACTGATATTTACACTGCAGCATGATGAAGAGATGAGGCCAGAGTAACTGTGTCACATTTGTTTCCTTTCACAATCCTATGCAACTTAGCAATGGCGACTTTTAAGGTCATTTAGCCATAAAAGAAGTCTGAGAACCCAAGAATGCAATACCAAAACTTAAGAACCCATGTTCATCTAAAAGTAAAGGACTTTCAAGCAGCCCTTCTGAACACATACCCCTTGCCCAGCAAGACACAGGGATCGATGAAAAAGGACTAAACAAGTTCCTGCCCAAGCATTCCTGCCAGCAATCAGCAGGGCCCTTAGGAGATCCTGTTAAAGAAGTAACAGCAGAGCAATGGATTCTTCAACCCATCTCAGAAGCCCTCAGCTACCCAGCAGCCTCCAACGGTGGATTAGCTCCACGCGACGCCACAGGCAAAGGAAAGAGTTTAAACTACCTAACCACGTAATCAAAGAATCGAGGAGCGTGGGTGCTGGACAGGAGCCCAAAAGTCATACGTCCAACCCTTGGCAGTTTACAGAGAAGAGGCAGGTCGGCTCACTGTCTTAAAAGAACCCCGGATTCCCCCTCAAAGGTACCAAATAAGCCGAGAAGGGCACATATCACTGAGTGTAGCAGCGCCTTCCACCCTAACGGTGGTCTGACAGGGCTCTCAGTCCTGCTGCACTGATTCTAGGTGAAGCCACGTGATTCTAGATGAAGTCATTTATCCTAAAAGCAGAAAGTTACAAAATAATTAAAATGAAGGAACCAGATAGATCTCAATTTATTCCTTCCGGCCTCATTTTGTTGTCATATTTCTGTAAGGCTCCTGAGAGAAAAGATGTTAGGGAGCTGCTAGGAGAATGGGATGCAGTGCCATCCACCACTTTCCAAGGAACACCTTCTACAGAGGGCAAAACCCATCAACATGATAAAGGCACAGACCCCTCTGACCCAGCACATTACTCTGAGGAACTAATCCTATAAAACACATCTATGCGGACCAAGTGTCATCCGATATAGCAAAAGACTGAGAGCAATCTAACTTCCATCAGCAGGGGGCTAGCCCCATTAACTAAGGTACATCCACAAGGTGCAATCTCAAAGCTGCACGCACAAAACACACCAGGAAGTTCTTTATTACGTTAAAAGAAATGACGAAATGATCTCCAAGAGACTTTGTTGCAGGAAAAAACAAGGTGCAGAATAATATAGCATTTTACCATTTATATTTTTTAAAAAGAGGGGATTGAGCGCACGTATGGGTAATTTGCCTATATATACATAAAACATCTCCGGAAGGATGCACAAGAAACTGGCAACACTGATTTGGCTCCAGGAAAAGAAACTGGGTGGTAGGTTGAAAAGAGTGGGAAGGAGTCATCCCTCTGCACACTCTCCCTTTCGTGTCTTTGGTTTCTGAATCAGGTGAATACATTACCTAGTCAAAAAATACTTTTTTTTCCTAAGATGTTTAAAGATCTGATCTTTTAAGAAGGAGTGAAAATAGATAATAGCCATTTTTTCTCTGACTTTACTTGGCCAAAGAAAATGCTGGCAAACCCAACTGTGGCCCCTAATTCGGGCCTCTGAAACCCCAAGGTCTGGGAAGCCCTGTGCCATAGGCAAACCCAGATGTACCAGAGCATTGACTCTCTCTGATCCTGCCTGCCTGAGCTAGAATGATTCAACCAGCTGTATTCACAAACCTTTTTTAAGATTAAACAGATAAATTTTCGCTAAGTTACTTGGCTTCACTTCCTTAGAAAATTATGCTTATTAACAGAGATAGGTTACTTGACAAGTACCAGTGTGTTGAAACCTGTGCATCTTGCTATTTTAACACTCCAGTGCCAGGAACACAACTGGTGCTCCGTAACTATCTGTGATGAATACACGACGGGCTGGCTAGTAGATATGTGAAGGGAGGAATCGGAACCATTATTACTCCATGCTCAGACAGCTGTGATGCCTATAAAATGCTAATGTGATCATCATATGGTACAAGGATATTCTCTAGCTAAACAAAAATAACCCCTCTGGAATATGTCTACCGATTAGGGACTAAAATTCTATATCAACATTTGGACTTCACTGTCTGTTTTTACCACAGTTAATCAATAATGGACTATAGCTAAACTCCAGTTCTGTATCAGGTACAAACGAAAATAAACCAAACTCTCTGTTCTCTCAAAGCCTTCACCTGAATCCTAGATATACTGGCCAGAGACACAGACACTAACCCCCCATGGGTACACAGCTCCAGGCAAACTGGACTGCTAATAGTCTCACACCAACCTAATAAATGTGCTGGACACATGCTGCCAGGCTGAGCACAGATACAACCAAAATATGGTATTTACAAGCACAGTGACACCGAGCCTGCACATGAGACCATTTGAGAATTATGACAGTCCATTATAGGATAGCAGGATGAGACTAAAATCTCACAGAGCCACCCATGACATGGCTCAGTTCACACAAATGTAACTTGACAATTACAGTCCTTAAAAATACATGTTTTTCTGAGGAAGCAGAAAACCCATTAAACACAATCAGATGGAAAGTTCTGTCTCTGCAAAATAAAATAAGGAAAGTTTCATAGATAAAGCTTGGCTTCCCTCACGTTCGAGTGGGTGGCATTCCTGTTGGAGAAACATCTCAATGCAAAGTTATTATAACCCAGCACTACTAACAGCAACCACCCGCCCACCCACACAAGTGTGTGAGGGTTGGTGGAGTACTCACAAAATATTTGGATGACTAAATGCTTCTGTCAGATTCCAAAGAGATATTTAAACACATTCATATAGCAAATTTACTTCCACTCTTAATTGTAAAATACCAATGAAGAATACCGGGTAACAAGTTATTTGAGGGACTATAAATTTTAAAAATCAATTTTCAGAAAATTAATGTATAATAATATATTAATATAATAAAAGTCATGTATAATAATGTATTAATTATTCTTATAACTAATGCTTTTAATTGCGTTGGAAATTTTGAGAGGCATCCAAAAAAGTGCCTACTTACATCAATATCTAAAGGATGCTCCCAGTCTAATTTTGTGCTGAACTATCCCTTCAACTGGTTTCTCAAATATATCCACCATGATTGTATCACCATAGAAATAAATCCACTCAGGTAAGTCAAAGAGAAATAGGGCCTGCCAAATGAAAAATTTATTAAAAATATGAAAAATTTAAACCAGGCTAGTACTAAACATAATTATAACCTCACTACACTGACAACTCGAGAAATAAATGAGATAACCAAACTTTGAAAGCATGATGGATGAAAAATTAGAAAGCAAATAGTCTCTCTCCTCTCAACAAATGAGCTCACCAGGGACCGGAAAAGAAAGTGTTTTCAAAGCCAGAGAAAGGAAACTGCCTCAGGAAACCAACTGCTGTCCTCTTCCCCCACTTCCTGAGAAGGCGAAACACAGGAGTTAGACCATCATAGACTTTCCAGCTGAGACATGCCGAATGTGCTCCACCAAAACAGGCCGACTTGAGCACAAAGGGAGTCCCTTCTCACAGTGAGATGACAAGAAGCCACATGTATTTTCTACTGCTTTATCTATCTTCCCGGATGACGAATATATACTGGGATCAGGATGCTTCAATTCTCTGAGCACTTAAGTTGCAAAACCAGTGAACACCTAGATATATGGGATTTGACCTTACAGATGACTACACACAGGGGAAACAAGATGTAAAAATCACATCTCTTAGGAGAAGGATGTTATCAGAGGAGCTGCTGGCTCAGAGAAGTTCCTTCGCAGGGATTACACCAACCGCCAGCAGGATCAATAGCAGGCAAATTGGAGGAAAAACAAAACTCTATCCCTCCCTCCCCTGATTCCACTGGAAGAGAAAGAGAGTTCTATAAATCAGCTGTAAGACTAAGTACTTGGCCTACGGTCAGGACAGCAAAATGCTAGGTAGCGATAAAATTTAGTCTTCATGCAAAGAATTTCAATTAAAAACTTGTCTCCTTCCTTCTGACTCAAAGAGTATCAGAGGCACGTTTATGCACTGTTAGTGAGAATGTAAATTTTGATGCAACCTTTTTAGACCGCAATTTGGCAACGTCCATCAACATCTTAAGTGCACATACCCTCTGACCAAGCAACATAATTGCTAGCTAGGAATTTATCCTAGAGATATACTACACAAGGACTTGTGCAAATTACAACATGCATTGTAGCATTGTCTATAATAACCAAAATAGAGAAAGCACCCTAAATGCCCACCAGTGAGGAGGCCGGCTAAACAGACTATGGACTGTAAGCATATGTTGGAATCCTAGGGAGAGGGAGCTTGGTGTATGCTGACATGGAATGCTCTCCAAGGTATATTATACAGCATGTATACTATGATCTAATTTCTACAAAGATACATTTTTTAGTGTATAAATGTACGTATATACGCATTAAATTGTTCTAGATGGATACCTAAAAACTGTTAATAGTTTCTTCTGTGGAGTGGGGCTGGGGGAAAGGAGGAGAAAGGAAATGATTACTTTTCATTTTATACCCTATGGAAGTGCTTGAATTTTTTTTACCACGCTGATATATTGCCTGAATACATCTTTAAAAAACATATCAGAGAGCTTTAATTTTTCATTTGCCTTCTAAAAAATAAAACCAATGTTCCTTTTTGTTAGTTGTACATCTTGCTATTTTTTTGTACCTTATTTCCTTCATACACCCATCCCAGACTCTTCACACCAAAAGCAGCCTGGTTGGCTGAGACATCTAGGCATGTGACAGGCTGGCCGTAGACGTAATGGAGGGTTCTGGCAGAGTCTTCAGCTTTTAGCAGGTATACCAGATCTCCAGCGGTGGCTACTGCCACAGGGTACCTTCCAGTATCTGGAACTATCTCAAGGTAGTCAACCTGTTAAAGGATAAGAGTTGTTTAGTCCTTTAGGTCTCACCTACAATTCCTACCACATATCCACAAGAAGACCAGCAACCCAACAGAAAACGATGGGCAAATAGACAGTTCACAGGAAATGAAACAGAGTTTATACACAAATGAAAAGATGCTCATCATAAAAGAAACACAATACACTCCTAATAAGAGAAACACAAAGTAAAAATTCACTAAGATACCATTTTCACCCGTCATATTGGTAAAGACCAATTAGTCTGCCAAGACACTGGGCTGGAAGTGGAGGGAGGACAACCACATCTATGGCTCCCACCTACAGTTAGTGTGATGTAATCTGGTCCAACTGGTATGGAGGGAAGTCTGACCACACTTATCACAACATCAAACGCACATATGCTCTGATCCCACAGGTCACTTCTAGGAATTTACTTACAAATAAACTCGCATTTATGCAAAACAATTGTTATTTGCTGTAGCACTATTCTGTCATAGATAAAAACTAGAAAAACCTAAACATGGGTTACTAAGGGACTAATTAAATAACTTACAGTAAATCTATGCGGTTGGAACACCACGCAGTCACAGAAAAAAGCATGAAGACATTCTTTATAAATTCATACAAATGGGATCTCCAGGGTAAATTTGGCGGGAAAAGCAAGGAAGCAAGGTGAGTAACAGCATTCAGTGTGTAAAAGGTGGGGCAGAGGAAGTGTATGATGTGCTTGGCTTGTACATGCATAAATCTAACAATGGCTGCTTTCAAGGAGGGAAATGAATTGTGAGATGGGGTGGAAGGGAGATTTCTCACCGCAAACCTTACTGAGTCTTTTAAATTCTGAGCCATGAGAGTATAGTAACTATTCAAAAAAAGCTAAGGTTTTGTAATAATTATTATAAATAATAATTTTTTTACAGGGAACTGAATAAATAAAACTCAATTCCAAATTAGCAAAAATCTCATTTTAACATCTGTGCAAATACCAAAAATGTGCTGCTAAAAGGTTGAAAGTATCTGAGTTATCTGCTCTCTCCTGGTTTCAATGTCATCCGAGGGCAGGAAGGCCCCTACGAGCATTTTTACACTAGCACAGTACTCCCAACCACATTACTGCTCCCTCCTTCTCTAATCTGCACAGGTATGAGGGGCTCCCTGGGAATAATCTGTTTTTCTACATCCATAAGTGACACATCTCCTGAGTGCAGTTCACATCAGGTTTTCACCTCCTTGAGTAAATTCTGAAAGTACAAAAGCAGGAGGTAAGCCATGCTATGTAATTATGAAAATTTGCAGTGTAAAAGGACTGCACGGCCCTGACAATAAGCTAAAGGAGTTCAAAACCCTGAATCCTGAGGACTTTCCAGAGGAGCTTGAGAAAGTAAACGTCCAGGTGACTCTGCTCATCGTTGGCCCCGACCGTACGAATGGCGGCCCCACAACCCGAGCCGAGGGCCCATCACAAAGGAAGGATGTTCTAGGCCGGTATCACAAACCCGGGAACACTGCCATTGTGATTCAGCGAGCCTATCTTGGGGAAGACAAAAATGGCCCAGCTCTATGGGCCGGGGGGTGCCTTTTCCAGTGACAGTGCGTTCTGTTGCAACCCCTCATCCAGGGTGAGAAATAATACATAAAAAGTGTTATAACACATGCCTCAAGCAATGGTTGCTTGCCTCCTCTTTCTCCTATTCTAAAAATCATTTATTTTCCAAAAATCAACATCCTTAGTCTAGCCATTTAATTTCAACTTAATGTTGGATTTTGGACAGACCAAGAGGCTCAGATTGACAGTGGTTGTGCCATTTGCTGGGAGCTGTAAACTACTTCAAAAAGCTTCCAGTCTGTGCCAGGATGCCGCCTTATTGCCAAGGCAGGATTTACACTTTATAGAGGGACTTGCATCTTAAGTAACTGTCTGAGTTCATATAATTATTGCTGGTCTATGGTGCTCTTTAGGTAAAGACCAAATAATAAGCACTATGGTACATTTGAGAATAAACAGAAATATGGAATTTTCACATTTTTCTAATAAATAAACCCAAGAGGAGATGACAGCATCAGGCAGTCTGGGGGAATACTAAACCCAAACTGCAAATACTGATCATTAAAGGGACAAGAAGCTTATGGAGGTGACATGGTGATGCCATGGCTCTTTAGTTATTCAAGTCTGACCAGATTTCCATGAGGGGAAGAGGGAGAAGAACAGGACTTGTTCCAGGCCAGGCCATCAATTCATTACTCAGCGTTGGCTTTCCTCACTCTCCTCCTAGTGCCAAGATCAAGTTTGTTTAAATTAAATCCAAATTCAGCATAGAGAGAATGCCCTTCCTTCTTACCACCAAACCATCTCCTACCGTACAAATGTAGAGACTCATGTACAACTCAACTCAGAAATAAGCTCCATGTGAAGAACTCTTCAGGTTGCTCAGCTTTGCAGATGGCATCCTGGAACACAGCTACCCAATTAACACTGACTTAAATCCATTTTCACTCAAGAGTTACTCTAAATTCCAGGTGAGAAAATCTTAGGATGAAGAAAGTGTAGGATGGAAACCTCCCTTCCCATATGGACTGGGATGATAGCACTGAACTCATTTTCACTTATAAATTAGGCCAGAAACTGACCTCAGATTTCCAGGGGTGAACGTCCTGTTAATGTGAAGGAGGCTGAGGACCACAGTGAGACACTCTGGCCCTGAAGTCAACCCTGAGGTTTGAATCACAACTTCTTAGCTCTGGGACCTGGGGCAAGATAATTCACTGCTCTAAGCTTCTACTGGCTTATTCATAAATGGAGAAATTTACTACCTATTTCACAAGGTTATTGTGAGATTTATGGATGTGAGGCCCACACTAAGCCCTGAGTGAATGGGAGCTGCCAACATCATTACTATTTGCTTATATGAGACCAGAGATTCTAAGAATGAAAAATAAAATGACCACACTAAAACCTCACCAGTTTCTGAACTTCAAATTCTGCAGCTATTTGCCAATATCCCTCCTCACTGGGGCACAACATTACGACATCAAAAGCAGAAGCTGTGGCAACAGTTGCATCTTCCTGGCTTAGGGCTAGTGCCTGTATTCTTGCATCATGCTCAAAACGATGAACAGGATACTTTCCAGTCCTTAGATCCCAAATATTGAGAAATCCTATGTAGAAAAAAAAAATGCAAGTAACAATTTTAAATTCACTTAATATGCCCAGTTATAAAATAACAATCATGCAATATAAAGAAAGCTAAAAGATAAATGATAAGTTGGTTTGGTTACAAAAAATATTTGCATCACATATAACAAAGGGCCAATTGCCTTAACATATAAAGGGCTTCTAAGATTCAATAAGGAAAAAAACAATTGAAAGGTGAGCAAAGGACATGAGCATGCTGTTCACATAAAAAGAAACACAACTGACATATAAACATGAGAAAAAAATGTAAAAATTCACTCAGAAAAATATAAAAACTGTAATAAAATACCATTTTTCATCAAACTGATAAAGAAAAATTTCATAAAGCATTTTGTTGTTGAGGATACAAGGAAACAGGCTCCCTCTTAAATTGTTGGTGGGAATGTAAACTAATTCACACACTTTGAAGGCAATTTGATAACATTTCCTATATACATCTGTAATTTGGTTAGACACTGTAATGTTTTTAATTATGTCTAAAGATCGAAAGCTATCTAGACGTCCATCAATAGAGAACTACTTAAATAATGGTACCTCCATAGTTTGGAATTTAAATAAAATGAGCGGTTAAAAAAGTCAGCCTTACATATAAGTTATATGAAATGATCCACAAAATATATTGCTAAACAAAAACAGTAAAGGAGAGAATAGCGGTATAGTATGCTATATTACTTTTGTGTTTTATAAAATGTACACACACACACACAAATGTATACATGGACTATCCCAGAAGGACACACAAGACACTGTTAACAATGACTGACCCCTAAGGAAAGAAACTAGGGAAAAGGAATAAAAGTAGGAGGGAAACTTACTGTATATCCCCTTGTATTCCCTGAAATTTTTACCAAAAATTATCTTTACCAAAAAAAAATATTTTTTTTTAATGTTTTTTATGAGAGAGACCTAAGAAGAATGGGAATATATATATTAATTGCTGAGTTTTAACATATGGAGTTCTTAATTCATTCTTCTATTTGCCCACTCATTCATGCAACAAATAACCACTGAGCACCTGTTATACGCCAGGCACTGTTCTAGACATCAGCAATACCTGAAAACAGCCATAAACCTACTCTAGTGGTTCTTACAAGTATTTTACATCCTCCCTCACCACCACCCTCTTCTGGCCCCAGCTGGCAGTGGCATTTTATGTTAAATAGTTCAAAAACATGAGCTTGACTACCCAATGCTTGTTAAAAATTCTGATTTTATTATACACTCTTCTCCCCAGCACCTTGAGTACTGCTACCCAGATGAATTCCTCTTACACACATTGGCCATGTCTCCACCCTTCTGGAATTGTCTACAGCAATGATCTCCAAGTGTGGTCGCCCGGATTAGTGGCATCAGCATCACTGGGGGCTTGTCAGAAATGCAGATGCTCAGGCAACAGACACTCTGGGGATGTACACTCAAGTTTGAGAACCAGTAGTCTACGGGAACTTAAACTTTTCTATCAGAAATATAAACTTTTCTCAATTTGCGATGCTACTTATTCATTTCTCACCAAATAATTTCTTTTTATCATTCCCATCCACTAAGCCACTTCTTTCCCACAAAGATTTATCCAAGAAAATAATTTCTTTCTGCATCCTGTTGGATAATCTCCCATTCCAATTCTACCTGATTTTATTTTTCAAAATTCACTGAGAAATAACTGTGTGGAGATAACACAGTCCGTGGCTATTAGAACTCAAATCCAGCTCCACCACTTGCTGGATGAAGGCCTGGGGCAAATTACTCAAAGCCGTGAGCCTGTTTCCTCCTCTTTAAAACTGAAGATAACATCCCACTGCTGGGGAGACTAAAGAAGATAGACCTTATAAAATGCTGGAGACAGACCTATCATTTTTACCTTTCTTTAATGTATTCTATAGTGCCTGCTGTGTTATAAAGCATATTTAATCTACTGACAATGCTAATTTCCTCTCTATTGCTCATCCATAAATCCAGTTCCACTTCCTATAACTTCCTATTGCCTAAAACAGATAAAGCTTTTCACATTTCTTCTCTTTGCAATCCATCTTCCCATCTTTCTTTTTTCTTGCCTCATACATTGTCCTTCAACATTAAATGCTTTGAACTTAGGATCTTACTATAAAGTATCATTCAGCACTAAATAAATATAGAGGCAGAAGAAAATAATACATTTGGGCTGCTTTGCGAGACTTTCAAGCTGTCAGTAGGCTAAGTAGGTGATTACAAACAAAAGCAGAGCTTTCTTCAAGTTAAATGTTGCTTCAGATGTAAAACACAGCATACTTTCCTAAGAATCATGACAAACATGGGGGATAAGCAGATCGCAAAAGGCTCCACGACACATTCCCCTGACGAAGATTTTGGCAAATTCTTTCCATTCTGACCCAGAAGAAACTGATACACTGCAGAAAATGCCAATGGCTCTACACATTAAATAGCAGATAGGCACATTCCAAGATGTGCCTCCTGCACATACTTCTGTACTGCATTCGTTTGCATTTGCTTGGAGACATCACAAAAAACAGTAAAGAAAATAGTAAAGTAAAGAAAATACAAACTGCTACTTGCATAGAGCTTTCAACCGTTCAGACACTATCCTTCGTCTCCTCTCCTTCAGTGCTCACTTCCATCTTGGGAGGAGCATCACTATCCTCATTTTATAAGAGAAGAAACAGAAGCTCCAAGTCATTAAACATTACTGGTCCAAAGCTGGGCTGGAATTTAGCTAGAAGAGTGCAGGACAAGCAGCTGCATTCACAAGTGCATAAAATAACTATGAGCTAGATGAGTAACCGATGTCAACTCACCCTGTGTTCTGCCAAGTGTGGAAGTTATTCAACCACAGCTCACTCAAAGCACACATGGAGTTTATCTATAAACACATTTTTCATTATTAATCATGTATTGGTTTTTTGGCATCATTTTTCCAACAGAATGGTATGCCATAAAATACCCTTCACCACAAGGTTGAGTTTCACAGAACTATCCTAAGAAGGGTCTTTTTGGAAAATATATTGTCGGGTTCCATCAATTTAATGGTCACATCTTTCTCTTCCAAATGCCTGCTGTGTCATGATCTTTGTCAATTTCCTCTGCTTCAACTATTAAGCGTATAACTTGGTCAGATCCTCACTTGCCAATGGTGCCACTATCATCTGCATAGTCCTCCAAGATCACTTTTAGGTGCATAAGCATGTAGCATTGTTATGTCCTCCTGATGAATTGACCCTTTATTATATGAAACGTCCCTCTTTATCCCTGGTTACATTCTTTGCTCTGAAATCCACTTTGCTTGACACTAATGCAGCCACTCCAGCTTTCTTTTGATTAGTGTTAGCATGGTGTACATATTTCTGTCCTTTCACTTTGCCGTGTCTTTATATTTAAAGTGGGTTTCTTGTAGACAGCATACAGTTGGTCTCACATTTAATTGGGGTGCTTAGACCATTTATCTTTAATGTGATTATTGGTGAGGATGGGTTGAATACCCTTTTACTGTTTTCTATTTGTCCCATTTGTTCTCTGATCCCTTTTTCCCTCTTTTCCTGCCTTCTTTTAGATTGAGTATTTGGATTCATTATGTGTTTATTCCGATTGATTATGTGTTTATTCCATTTTAATTCCTTTGTTGGCTTATTAGCCAAAACTCTTTGTTGTGTTATTTTAGTGGTTGCTTTAGGATTTTAACATACACCTGTAAGATAATGCAGTCTGCCTTCGAGTGATAATATACCACTTTACATAGAGTAAGAACTTTACAGCAGTGTACTTCCCTTTCCTCCCTCCTAGCCTGTGCTATTGTTATCATATTTTTAGTTCTACAAGTTATAAACCCCACATGCACTGTTATTATTTTTGCATAAGCAGGCAATTATCTTTCTTTTTTTTTTGTGAGGAAGATCAGCCCTGAGCTAACATCCATGCCAAATCCTCCTCCTTTTTTTTTCCCCCTTTCTCCCCAAAGCCCCAGTAGATAGTTTTTATGTCATAGTTGCACATCCCTCTAGTTGCTGTATGTGGGACGTGGCCTCAGCATGGCCGGACAAGTGGTGCGTCAGTGCACACCTGGGATCCGAACCCGGGCTGCCAGTAGTGGAGCACACGCACTTAACCGCTAAGCCACGAGGCCGGCCCCGGCAATTATCTTTTAAGGAGACTTAAATAATAAGAAAAAGAGTCATTTATATTTACCCATGTAATTACCACTTCTACCGCTCTTCCAATATCACTTTTAACATTTAAACCCTGCAGCTTTTGCAAGATTTGCAGTTTCATTTTGCAACTGTACTCTTGGATATCTGACCCAAAAACACATGGGCAAGGTAAGCAGGAACAGATATAGCAGCTAACAAGAGAGATATCTGAGTGAAAGCTAATTTTATAAATGGTCGATTTATTAGTTAATACACTTACATCATGGCTACTTTTACAACCTCAAAACTGCAGGGACTCAAACAGTGAATACTTGAATTATAAGAATGCTTTACAATACTGTAGCAGATTATCATCCATGTTAACCAATATTTAGCCAAAAAAGAATCAATGCAACAATACAATCAATAAGTATTTACTGAGCCCCTGCTTTGGGCCAGCTGCCATTCTAGGCACCGGGGAAACTGCAGTGAACAAGACAAAGTAAAACAAAAAGGTCCCTGACTGCACGGAGCTGATGCTCTAGTGGCATCTCCCAGGCATCTCATCTGGGGGCACACAGAAAGGATATGACCCTTATTCTCACAAAACTCACATTGGAGAGAAACATAAACAGCTAATAACTAAAATGTTACATAACAGAGAGATGTATACAAAGTGCAATGGGACAATGGATGAGCTTAACTTTTGGTCATGTTGTCACACTATGTGAAGATCCCCAAAAAGGAGCAGCTAACTCTTCCAGACATTTCAAGTTGAACTGGGTCCACGTCCACTGCACGACATTAAGGAAGAAGTAGTCAGTGCTGTCAGGGCCAAATAAATTCAC